CCGAGCGTTATGGAACCTCCGCGAGGCACCTCCCGTTCATGATGCCCAGTTCGAGGGAAAGCTCTCCCCACTGTCCCCACCACTGTCCCCCTGTCCCCACTGTCCCCACCACTCTCCCCACTGTACTACTGTCCCACCACCGTCCGCACCACCGCCTCCACCACTGTCCCCACCACTACCGTCCCCACCACTGTCCCACTGTCCCCACAACTGTCCCGCTGTCCCCTCACCACTGTCCCCACCACCACCCTCCCCACCACTGTCTGCACCACTGTCCCACTGTCCCCGCACCACTGTCCCCACCAACACCGTTCCCACCACACCACTGTCCCAGTATCCCCACCATTGTCCAAGTGCCCCGAGGAGCGGGAATCGTTTGCCGGCGGCGAAGGGGGGGGGATTCGAACCGGTAGTGACCCACCACGGTTTTCGAAGGGGGGGGGGTCTCGAACCAGTAATGACCCCCCCCCTTTTCATGATGGACTGGGGGGGGGAGGGGTTCGAACAGGTAGTGGCCCCCCCCCCTGTTTTCGAGAGGGGGGGGGAGGGGGGGACGGGTTGGGAACCCCCAGTGACCCCCCCCCGGTTTTCCGCAAGCAGCGGTAGAACACGCTCTTTCGGATTTTTTCAATACGAGGTCCCTGGAAGCCCCGACCCTTTCCCCGGGATCGGATTTTCATCCCGAGTCGTTTTTTGACGGTCCCGAGGCCCGGCGAGGGCCCCCCCGAAGCCGTAAGCGGCCAAAAACCTCACGTCCTGTTTTTTCTTTGCGACGCGAGCCTGTCTGGGGACATGCGTGTTCGCCCACGGCCGTTCTTCTCCTCCTCCTCCTCCTCCTCCTCCTCCTCCTCCTCCTCCTCCTCCTCCTCCTCCTCCTCCTCCTCCTCATCCTCCCTCCTCCTCCCTCCTCCTCCTCCTCCTCCTCCTCCTCCTCCTCCTCCTCCTCCTCCTCCCTCCTCCCTCCTCCTCCTCCTCCTCCTCCTCCTCCTCCTCCTCTCCTCCTCCTCCTCTCCTCCTCCCTCCTCCCCCCTCCCCCCCTCCTCCCTCCTCCCTCCTCCCTCCTCCTCCTCCCTCCTCCCTCCTCCTCCTCCTCCTCCTCCTCCTCCTCCTCTCCTCCTCCTCCTCCTCCTCCTCCTCCTCCTCCTCCTCCTCCTCCTCCTCCTCCTCCTCCTCCTCCTCCCTCCTCCTCCTCCTCCTCCTCCTCCTGTCCTGACTTTTTCATGTCTGGGGCTGCTGCCGCTGCCGGTGCTTCTCCTCCGCTGCTCGTTGGAGGCCACGGGACGACCCGTGGCCTGCACCGCGCAAGGCACGACGACGACGACGACGACGACGACGACGACGACGACGACGACGACGACGACGGCGGCGGCGGCGGCGGCGGCGACGACGACGACGACGGCGGCGGCGGCGACGACGACGACGACGACGACGACGACGACGACGACGGCGGCGGCGGCGACGGCGACGCAGAGCCACCGCGGGGCAGGCCCCGGGATCGCCCGAGCGTGCTCGGGCCACGCCTGCGCCTCTCCGCCCGGTCACAGAGAGCGCGGGGCAGCCGGCCCGACCGCGACGAGCGCGCGGCGCGCAAGCTCGGCTCGGAGGGCGGCGCAACGGCCGCGGGAGGCCCGGCGCTGGGAGAATTCCCAGACAGGATCGCGTCGTAAAATCATCCTGGTGAAGGACTCAACCATGTGCAGCTGTGAGGAAGAAGATGGAGGAGGAGGAGGAGGAGGAGGAGGAGGAAGAGGAGGGAGGGGGCAGCAAACGAGGACCCAACACCACAGGATGGTTGGGAGAAAAATATCCTGGCAAAGCAACCTAACAGCGATGTGTAGGAGCATATCTGGAAGCATTCCCCTTAAGATTCAGATGAGAATCCTGTTGTAGAATTCTGCTGTTCTCGCAGTCGTAGTCGCATTCGGGATGGCAGTCGCAGTGGCAACGGCAGTCGCAGTCACAGCCTCAGCCTCAGCCTGCCTCAGCCTCAGCCTCAGCCTGCTCAGCCTCAGCCGGCCTCAGCCTCAGCCTCAGCCTGCTTCAGCCTCAACATCAGTCTGCCTTCAGCCTCGGCCTCAGCCTCAGCCTGCCTCAGCCTCACCCTGCATCAGCCTCAGCCTCAGCCTCAGCCTGCCTCAGCATCAGCCTGCCTCAGCCTCAGCCTCAGCCTGCCTCTGCCTCAGCCTCAGCCTGCTTCAGCCTCAGCCTCAGTCTGCCGTCGGCCTCGGCCTCAGCCTCAGCCTGCCTCAGCCTCAGCCTGCATCAGCCTCAGCCTCAGCCTCAGCCTGCCTCAGCATCAGCCTCAGCCTCAGCCTCGCCTCAGCCTCAGCCTGCTTCAGCCTCAGCCTCAGTCTGCCTTCAGCCTCGGCCTCAGCCTCCGCCTGCCTCAGCCTCAGCCTGCAGCCTGCCTCAGCCTGCCTCAGCCTCAGCCTGCCTCAGCCTCAGCCTCAGCCTCAGCCTGCCTCAGCCTCAGCCTCAGCCTGCCTCAGCATCAACCTGCCTCAGCCTCAGCCTCAGCCTGCCTCAGCCTCAGCCTCCTCAGCCTGCCTCAGCCTGCGGCCTCAGCCTCAGTCTGCCTTCAGCCTCGGCCTCAGCCTCAGCCTGCCTCAGCCTCACCCTGCATCAGCCTCAGCCTCAGCCTCAGCCTGCCTCAGCATCAGCCTGCCTCATCCTCAGCCTCAGCCTGCCTCAGCCTCAGCCTCAGCCTGCTTCAGCCTCAGCCTCAGTCTGCCTTCAGCCTCGGCCTCAGCCTCAGCCTGCCTCAGCCTCAGCCTGCATCAGCCTCAGCCTCAGCCTCAGCCTGCCTCAGCATCAGCCTGCCTCAGCCTCAGCCTCAGCCTGCCTCAGCCTCAGCCTCAGCCTGCCTTCAGCCTCAGCCTCAGTCTGCCTTCAGCCTCGGCCTCAGCCTCAGCCTGCCTCATCCTCAGCCTGCTCAGCCTCAGCCCAGCCTCAGCCTGCCTCACAGCCTCAGCCTGCCTCAGCCTCAGCCTCATGCCTGCCTCAGCCTCAGCCTGCTTCAGCCTCAGCCTCAGTCTGCCTTCAGCCTGCCTCAGCCTCAGCCTCAGCCTCAGCCTGCTTCAGCCTCAGCCTCAGTCCTTCAGCCTCCTCAGCCTCAGCCTGCCTCAGCCTCAGCCTGCATCAGCCTCAGCCTCAGCCTCAGCCTGCCTCAGCATCAGCCTGCCTCAGCCTCAGCCTCCTCTGCCTCAGCCTCAGCCTGCTTCAGCCTCAGCCTCAGTCTGCCTTCAGCCTCGGCCTCAGCCTCAGCCTGCCTCAGCCTCAGCCTGCCTCAGCCTCAGCCTCAGCCTGCCTCAGCATTCAAAATGTGGCCCGGGAATGGAGTTCTGGGAACTCGAAGAACACGAAGTGGCCTACAGTTGGCTCCGGGCATTCAAAATCATGCCCAGGAATGGAGTTCTGGGAACTCGAAGACCACGAAGTGGCCTACAATTGGCTCCGGGCGGCATTCAAAATGTGGCCCGGGAATGGAGTTCTGGGAACTCGAAGAGCACGAAGTGGCCTACAGCTGGCTCTTGGCATTCAAAATGTAGCCCGGGAATGGAGTTCTGGGAGCTCGAAGACCACGAAGTGGCCTACAGCTGGCTCTGGGCATTCAAAATGTGGCCCGGGAATGGAGTTCTGGGACCTCGAAGACCCGAAGTGTGTAACTGTTGGCTAAAAAAAATCCCCGGCACCCTCCCCCGGATCGCGCCCAGACCCCCCTGGGGCGTCATGATGCTCTCTTTTGACCCTACTAGAAACCTATCAGTCTTCGCTGTTAGGCAATCAGGACGGGAGGTTTTTGGCCGTTTTCGGCCTCGGGGTGAAAGTCCTGGGCCTCCAGGGACCCCGTATTGAAAAAATCCGGACGCCGCATGTCTGGGTCAGCTACGTGAGCCGATTCGCTAGAATTCCTCCTTTGCTAACCACCCCCCTCGTCCGCCCCGACCTTCTCCTCATTGCCAGAAACCTCCCGTTCTGATTGTTTCACGAGGCGATCGTCGTTGGGGAAGAACATCTCGGGAGGCGCGGGGGCTTCTGAGAAGTCCCGCCGCCTTCTGAGGAGGCCCTCTCCTTCTCATTTCTCCCCCCCCGCCCGCCCACGCCCGCCACCGAGAGGAGCCGAGGCGCGAGCAGGAGGAGGAGGAGGAGGAGGAGGAGGAGGAGGAGGAGGAGGAGGAGGAAGAGGAGGAGGAGGAGGAGGAGGAGGAGGAGGGAGGGGGAGGGGAGGAGGAGGAGGGGAGGAGGAGGAGGAGGAGGAGGAGAACGGCCGTGGGCGAACACGCATGTCCCCAGACAGGCTCGCGTCGCAAAAAAAAAATCAGGACGTGAGGTTTTCGGCCGCTTACGGCCTCGGGGGGGGCCCTCGCCGGGCCTCGGGACCGTCAAAGAACGACTCGGGATGGAAAACCGGCCCTGGGGAAAGGGTCAGGCCCACCAGGGGCCCCGCATTGAAAAAATCAGAACGTTTATCCGCGGCCTCGCGGGCCCGGCCCTGGGCCGCGACCCCACGGATTGCTGGGGCTTTGGTTCGCGAACACCCCACGCGGAACGCATCCCGGCGACCCCGCATCCGCGGGGAGCCTGTCCCGGAATCCGGACCGCGAGGGTGCGGATACGGATAGGTTCGCCGCTCACGACGAGGACGAAGAGAGGTGGAGAAGGAGGCGGAGGAGGGCTGCGCGGTCCGAAGGGGGAGGGGGGGGGGCGTGCGCCGAAGCGCGACCACCGCGGGCTGCCAGAGGGGAGGGAAGGGGGAGGGGGGAGGGAGAAGCGCCTGCACAAGGGCGAAAGAGGCGGGCAGAAAGAGCGGGTGAGCCACGGGACGAGGAACAGTCCAACGGACCTCAGCCAGGCCTTGGAATACAGAGGAACGCGGGGAGCCATGTGAAGGATGCGTTGGTCGCGTACTGGTCTGACCAATGCCTGGTTACTTGTTTCTTGGCCCTGGAGTGGCCCTCTGACGGCCCGGCAGAGCGCGCAAGCTTCGAACCCCCCAGGTCATCGGGAGAGCGGAACATCTTCGCCACGTAGCCGTCCCAATCGCCGTTGAGGTAGCGGGCCAGCTCGTCTTGGCTCATGTCTTCGACCCGCTTCTTCTCGCGGAACTCCTGATGCTGCGGCAAGAAATCCGGGCGCCAAGCTCGGCAGCGTGCGGGCGAGACGACATTAGGCGGCGGCGCGGTCCGCAGGACTCCAGAGTGACAACTATGGGCGGGCGTCTTTCAACCATTATTTTGGGATCGAAGTGGCGCAACGCACGTTTGCCGGCAACTTCTCCGCAAGCCAGACTGAGCTCATGAAGAAGAGGTTTACAAAACATGCGATTATATATATATATATGTGTGTGTGTACATATATACATATATATATATATATATATTCCGAACTCCGTCGAGGCTCGACAAAGGAAGCCGATGCTATCATAACCCGCCTCCCTGGTTCGTCGGGCACCCTTCCAGCTCCATTCCTCCTCCCTCCTCGTCGTATCCCGATTAGCTTCTCCCTCTTCTCTCCTATGATTCCCCGCCTTCCGTCCCTCCATCCCGCCTTTCTCTCCCTTCCCACATTCCCCCCTCCGAGAACATACCATCGGACCGCTGCTCATGTTCTCCACCTACCTCGGACCGGCGCTGCCCCAGACCCTCCTCGCAATGTCGCAGGCTTCGTACACGGAGGCGTCCCCCGATTCGCTCGCCAGTTTGCACGAAATCGCGATGTGTCCAGGGGGCGCTCCCCATTCCCCACGACGGGGTGCAGCTTCGAAACTTTGCCTGGGTCACTTCCAAGTCGGCTTGACTGGCGGCGTTCGTCGTTGAACGACACCTTCAGCCGCCAAGGGAAGCGATCGCCCCGCGCGCCCTCGAAGGCCGCCGAGTTAAACATCGCCGCGAGCTCACGCTGGAGCAGGGCCGACCGCAGCACCGCACGCGAAATGAAGCCTCCCTCCCTTCTCCCTGCACCTCGTCCCCGAATCATCGACGGTCACCTTCACGATCTGCGCTTACCTCTCCCGCTGCGCCCAGCGTCCCCTCTCCAGGGATCCCATCTGGCGGGGGACCATGGGGACGCCCGAGCGAGGACGGCAGAGGCCCACGCCCGAGGCTGCTCCCCCGACGCGCGATGACGCGTCGGCCTTTCTCGCCCTGACCGGCCTGACCCAGGCCTACCACTTCAGGGAGGCGACCCAGTAGGTGTTTGAGGGCGAGCAGGCTGTGCGACGCCCCGCCTCCTTTTTCGCGCGGAGCGCGGGAAAGCAGTGTCAAAGGTGTGGAAGAATCCGGCCACGCAGGGCCCAGCCTGGAGGGAGGCGACCCACCAGGTGCCGCCGTCTCCCACGGCGGGGCGACGGCCGGGAGCTGCTGCTCAGAGCGTCTCGCGGCGGCGGTCCCGCCGACAGGCCGTGCTCTGCAGGCGGACAGCGTGTCGCTCTGCTCCGCGGGGCGGGAGGCTGGGAAAGGCTGGGACCGCTGACGCTTGGGAATTGAAAGTGGTCAGCGTGCAGCGCCGAGGCGTGGTGAGCCAGAACCTACGGCGCCGCATACCAAGCATACGCTCTGACCGTGAGTGCGCCAAGATACATGATTGACCCTTTTTTGAGTTGGGGTCCTGAGCGTTTGGGGCCCAACGGCCGCCGCGCCCACGTCGTTCAGCACAACCTCCAACTCCCATTTCCGCACGTCGACGCTGCGGGTGATGCGAAGAGGCATCACGCGAACTATGCCCACGCCCTGCAGAAGCGCAGAAGCCTGCACGCACTCGCACCTGCTGGACCCGCCCGACGAAACCATCTGACGAACACGCGCTGCGCCATTCCCATCCAGCGCCAGCCCACCGAGGGGAACGCCGCAGCAAAGCCAAATGGTGACTAAGATGGGACGCTGCGCCCCAGGCATCTGGCCGCCGATCACACTCAACGAGCCCAGCTCCAGGAGGTGGTTGAAGCGGATCACGTGGATCACGCGTTGAATAACATGCACATCCCCGTCAGTCAGGAACACGCCTGCGCTTGCTCGGCTCCATCGGTGCCGCTCTCGGGGGCGCGCCCGCGTGGGCACCCGATGGCAGGCCCCCTGGTCGACGAGAGGGGCCCCTCGCACAACAACAAGGCAGACCCGCCCGCCGCTACTCTACCAGCTCATCTTGTCAAACGAACATCCCTTCAGCACCGCACCACCTCTCTACTCTGCCGCTTCTGCCTCGCAGGGAAATGCCAACTGCACACTGGCACCATCTCTGGCAAGCACTTTCCGTAGCGAGGACGGGCGCGTGTACACTCATCTTCCCCCCGCCTCCTTGGACGCCCCAGGGGGGCTGCCAACTCAGAGGGCTCCGAGAGGGGCCACTCGAAAAGCAGAGTGGCCCGAACCACATCCAACAATTTCGACTAACCCCCGCCGCTAAAAGCAGATTCAGCCAAAGCGTTGGCCAACAGCCGCCGGTGAAAACTGCGGAATTGCGCACGCAGCGCTTTTGCGCCGTCTGCCTTGCGCGTGCAGTTCG